GGACTTTTGTAAATATCAGCTGACAATTTCTAGTGATCTATGTGGGCTTTTATGATTCTGTGCAGATTAATCAGAGTATTTAGTGCCTGCTGTGAGCATAACACTTGGCAGCAGGGGGAGGGGGCTGAGGAGGTGATCCTTGGTTAAGGACCCACATTGTGGTTGGAGGGACAGGATTTATAGCCAATAAGCAATCATACAAGACACAAGAATGTATGTCATTAAAGAGAAAGCCAGGTGCTGCAGGCCTTTAGGGAAGGGGAGGTGGGGGTGGGGGCACACATGTGTCCACAGCAACAGGAGCAATCAGAGGAGGCTTCTGGAGGAGGCAGAAACTTGACCGAGGCTTGTTCAATGGAGAGGGATTAGTGAGAGGTCAGCAAGTCAGCAGGGTAGGGATTCCAGGTCAGCGAATAAACAAGAGCCAAGGCAGAGAGTCAGAAATGAGCACAGCATGTTCACAGTCTAATGAGGAAACTGCAGACCACAGTGAAGGTGAATGGTGGGAGATGATAAGGTTGAATGTTAGTCAGAGGAGTTTAGGTTGGATGTGGAACGAAGGAAGAAAAAGCATTTTTGGATAGGGGAGTGACATGGTGTGTTTTGAACAAGATGGATTATTTGTGGGAGGAAAACTAGAGAAGGGGTATTTCATGCATGACCTGGGGTATGAGATCGTGAGGTTCTGGACTGGGCCAGCAGCAAGGTTTTTTGAAACGCAGTGCACACAGGTAAACATGTCTGGCATGCCAGCTTGGTGCCTTCACATGGGAGTGTTTTATAAATAAGGTCATGGAGATTAAGCCCCCACAACAGTGTGTTAGCAACATAATTGGGTTGTAGCACATGTAGCTGATTTAGAGCTGAAATCTTTTATTTTAGCCTTTCTTCACGTCTTGTTGGCTCAGCCACTAAGTAATTGTGTGTGGTTTTGGGCAAGCTACTTAAATCCTCAGTGTCTTGGTTTTGTTGTCTGTAAAATGAGTTTTTGTTTTTTTTTTTTAGTTTGACAGAGTCTTGCTCTGTTGCCCAAGCTGGAGTGCAGTGGCATGCTCTCCATTCACTGCAACCTCTACCTCCCAGGTTCAAGCAATTCTACTGTCTCAGCCAGCCAAGTAGCTGGGACTACAGGCGCATGCCACCACCCCTAGCTAATTTTTGTATTTTTAGTAGAGATGAGGTTTCACCATATTGGCCAGGCTGTTCTCAAACTCCTGGAGTCAAGAGATCTGCCTGCCTTGGCCTCTCAAAGTGCTGGGATTACAGGCGTGAGCCACAGTGCCTGGCCAAAATGAGGGTTTTATAGTACCTCATAGGCTTGTTATGAGAGCTAAGTGAGCTAGTATATAAAGTGCCGACCCTAGAACCTGGCACACAGGAAGCCTTTAAAAAAACTTATTATTTATTTACTCAGTAGTTCGCATTATCATGGGAATATAAATATTTAAATTACCCAATGGGCCAACACATCTACAGCTGTGCTGAATCAAGGCCCTAAAAAAAAAAAAAAAAAGCTTGCTGGAGACATCGCCAAGATGGGACTCATTCAGAAACTGGGATGGAATGTCAAAAACTCCAATTCATGGCTGATCAGTGGCTCATGCCGGTAATCCCAGCATGCTGGGAGGCTGAGGCGGGAGAACTATTTGAAGCCAGGATTTGCAGGTTTCAGTGAACTATGATCATACCACTGCACTCCAATGTGGGCCACATCGTAAGACCCTGTTTCTAAAAGTAAATTAAAAAAACAACAACAAAACCCTCCTGTAATTCCATAAACCTGGTAAGTTTTCTTCCATCATTAGATTGTCCTTGAGGAAGGAACTGTGCCACAGATTTGTCCTGACATCTAACAGAGACCCTTGTTCTTTTTTTTTTTTTTTTTTTTGAGACGGAGTTTTGCTCTTGTTACCCAGGCTGGAGTGCAATGGTGCGATCTCAGCTCACCGCAACCTCCGCCTCCTGGGTTCAGGCAATTCTCCTGCTTCAGCCTCCCGAGTAGCTGGGATTACAGGCACGCACCACCGTACCCAGCTAATTTTTGTATTTTTAGTAGAGACGGGGTTTCACCATGTTGACCAGGATGGTCTTGATCTCTTGACCTCGTGATCTACCTGCCTCGGCCTCCCAAAGTGCTGGGATTACAGGCGTGAGCCACCGCGCCCGGCCTGAACCTTGTTCTTAACTGGTGCTTTATGCATGCTGGCTGCACTGTAGCGAACCATAAGCAAATATGGTTCCGCTCACTCATCCACTAGATACAGTATTTTTCTCTCTAGACAGGAGCTGCTGTTTGCAAACCTCCCCCACCCTAAATCTGAGCCAGGGAAGATATCATAAAACAAACTTGCTCATGGGATTTTGTAGAAAAGGCCTCAAGAGGCAAGGCTTTAGACCAGGAGTTCTGAAAGTGACACATGTGCTTGTGAATTTCATACATGCCCCATGGATGGGCCGTTTCTTTGGCGGGAACCGTCTTCTGTCCCTTCTGATTTTGGATCAGAAGCAGCCATAGGAGCGGTAGCTCAGGCCAGCTTTATATTGTTACTAGACCGCAGGCGATTCCTCACCTCTCCAGTCTCCGAAAACAGCACACAAAAAAGGACAAGAGACTGGTTGTTTTCATCCTCACGGACCAGACACCCCCTGAGGAACGCCCCTAGAGAGTCTTTTGTCTGGTCCCCAGTCTCTCTGCCCGGGTGTCCCCCAACAATTGAGGATGACTAGTGTGTCATCTTTGGGTAAGGAGCACCTTCCCATAAACACTTATTTTTCTTAATTCACGCTGAGCTTTTACTTTATTTTTGCTTTAAAGCCACTGTTCTGAAACGTTCTAAAACACCGTAGGAACATGCAGATCGGAACAAAAGCAAATAAATCGAATCCCGTGAAGTAATAAAGCAGACGCCCTTCCCCTAACCGCCAGCACAAAGCTAAATAAAAAATACCAGGCATCCACTGGATAAAGTATTTTCCCCCCTAGACAGGAGCTGCCGTTTGCAAACCTCCCCACCCTAAATCCGAGCCAGCGAAGGTATCAAAAAACAAACTACTCCCTTCAGCTCCCAGACTGGAGGCAACAGTTTCAGCAGCACTGTCTATTTCCTTGAGCAACACGAGCGATTTGAAAGACCTTGGCTTTGACTTCCCTGTACCTGCCTCCAAATACACATAGGGGCGGGGTGGGATAGGGTAGGGGTGATATTGCCTCCCCGCAACCCCGTGGCCCTCCGCGACGCCAGGCCCGGCACAGGGGTGGGGAGAAGAAGGGGGGTGCCCTGGATTGGCTGTTCCAGCTGCAGGCAGTTACCTGGGGGCAGTGAGCGCTCTCTAGAGAGCAGAGCCCGGCTGCCCTATACCCGCGCGTCCAGAAATGACCCGAGGAAAGGAGGGAGCGCCCGCCCGGCTCCGGAACTGCGGGGAGCCCGGGCGAGCCTTGAAGAGGGTGCGCAGGGAGACCGCAGCCGCTACCGCCCGCTAGCACCTGTGCTCCCAGGGGGCGGGGTCTCCTCCAGGTGTGCGCAGAGGGAGGGCGGCGCGGAGCCCGGGCCGGCGCGGGAGCTCGAGCGGTCCCCCAGCCCAGAAATGGGCCGGGAGGAGCGCTTCATCCGCACCCCAGTGCCGCGGGAGCCACTGGCACCGCCCGCCTCCTCCGGGGTCCGGGGTTTGAGCGCACCGTGCGGCGCCGAGGGGGTTAACCGGGCAGCCCGCTGCTGGAGCGCGCTTAACCCTTTGGCGCCCGCAGGTCAGCCGTGCCAGGCCGGGGTGGCGGCACCCCGAGTCCCACGCGGCGGCGGCCATCCCGAGCGCGCGGGCGGTTTCGGGCAGATCGCCGCGCCGGGCAGCCGACCCTCCGGGGCGCGGCGCGGGCCGTGGGAGGCTCGGGGCGGGCGGGGGGCGGGGGACGGCGGCGGGCGCGCAGCGTCGCCAGGGCGAAGTCGGCGTGCGGCGCGGCGCGGCGGGCGCGGAGCGAGCGGGCGGGCGGGCGCCTCCGTCCCCGGATGTGAGCTCCGGCTGCCCGCGGTCCCGAGCCAGCGGCGGCGCGGGCGGCGGCGGCGGGCACCGGGCACCGCGGCGGGCTGGCGGGCGGACGGACGGGCATGGGGGGCGCGCCGAGCAGCCCCGGCAGCCGGGCCGGCATCACCGCGGCTTATCTCCGCTAGAGTAGGGGACAAGCCAGTTCTCCTTTGCAGCAAAAAATTACATGTATATATTATTAAGATAATATATACATCGGATTTTATTTTTTTTTAAAAAGTTTATTTTGCTCCATTTTTGGAAAAGAGCTTGGGCGGCGAGCGGTTTTTTTTTTTTTATATCAATTATCCTTATTTTCTGTTATTTGTCCTCGTCCCTCCCCACCCCCTGCTGAAGCGAGAATACGGGCAGGGACCGCAGCTCCTACCTATTGGTGATCCCCTTCCCCATTCCGCCCCCGCCCAACGCCCAGCACAGTGCCCTGCACACAGTAGTCGCTCAATAAATGTTCGTGGATGATGATGATGATGATGATGAAAAAAATGCAGCATCAACGGCAGCAGCAAGCGGACCACGCGAACGGTGAGCAGCCAGAGCCCGGGCACCCGCTGCCAAATCGGATCCTGTCACGGTCTTCCAGCCCCCTCCCCCTTCCCCGCGGGGCCGGGTGGGTTGAGGGCGTTGGGTAGGGTGCTGCCAGCTCGGTGTCGTCTACACAGAGAGGGACATGCGTGACTGCCACTCCGCGCTCCCCTCCAGGCCCTGAATGTCAGAGTTAATTCTGCATTTGTGGGGTGGGGGTGGCCGTGGAGTGTGTGGAGCACTGTGCAGCCGGAGGGGCGGCGAGTCGGGGTGATTCGGGTTCAGTGTCCTCGGGCTCAACTTTCCTTCTGCGCCCCCGAGCTATGGCAGGGGGCCGTGAGTCTTCAGCCGGAGCCCCCTTGCCAGCCTCTCCTCGCCTTCCACTCCTCCCCCGCCCCCTCATTGACTAGGAAGAAGGTCCCTGGTGGCATCCGGAAAATTCTAGGATTGCCCAGTTTCGCCCTCCACGCCGGTGGGTGAAGTACACCCCTCCCCTCGCGGGGGAGGCCTGGCCTTGGTGTCATCGGGGGAAGGGGCTCGGGTGGAGCGTGCATTCCCGCTCCTTCGCAGGCTGTGCACACGTCGGTAACCTAGCAATGCCCGGGGAGCGGCTGCCGCTGTGGGGCTCCCCTCCCCAGCCCTGGCCCTGGCACCACGTGCAGCTTCCAGCCGGCCGGGGCTGGGTCGAGGGAGGATGGAGCAGCTTCTGGCCAGCCCTCCCCTTTGGAGACCGCCAGAGTCCCCCAACCCTGGTCGGCTGGAAGCCTTTCCGGGTGAGCGGTCCCCTAGGGAGAAGATTGGCACGACTTGTCCCCGGTTCCGATTGCGGGCTCCTCGCCCGCTTTGCCTCCTTCTCAGGCTTTCAGACCGATGCTTGCTTTGACTCTTTACTTAGCAATAATTGGTTTTGCAAACGCCCATTCTCTACCTTTCTGCCACCTCTCTCACTTTGACTTCTGCTTCAGTGAGGAGACTGTGGCGGAAGGCGGCAGGTGCCTGGGAGATCTGCCTGGGAGGTGGCCTGACCCAAAGCTGGTGGGGGCTTTGCATAGGGAGCCTCGTTGGGTTTCTGCCTTGTGTGCACCTGGATGCTAGCCTACAGAGAGATAATTCCCTCTTAGGCCTGGAGGCCCTTGGCATAATCCAGCCAGTCTATCCTAGGTGCAGGGGTGCAGGCTGACTGCCTTGCCTCTCTAGATGCTGGCTTGGCGGATGCTGCTGCAATTTAAAATGCAAAAAAGCCCTAAAGATGTTTTCTGTTTTCGGAAGCCTGTGGAGGAAATGAGTCCCAAGCATCATGAATTTTCATTTGCAGGAAGTGTCAGCGCATAATCTAGATATTTGTTATGGGGTTTTTGGTATTGCCTGGGTGCCTGTGGAAGATCCCCCCCCTCCACCCCGTACTGAAAAAAAATGCATTTGTGGCTGTGGAAAGATGTTGGAGTAACACCCTGAAAATGATTAAGACTATTGAATTATTGGTGCTGCCTTTTTTTTTTCTTGGTGATAGTGGTAGTTATGTTAGAGAAAAGCTGTTGTACCTATCTGTTAACTCATTAGAGATAGATGGGTTTTAAAAATCAGAGATGTGGATTAAACATGGGAATAGCCTCAGTTTTGTCAGAATAAATGCACTAAAAGACCCTTTGTGAAGACTTGATGTGAAGGAGGACTAACTCTGCTGGGTGTGATGCAGCAGTGATCCTGTTTGATTGACACTGAGACCAGAGCTCGTGGACTTTCTTGCCTCTCTAGCTGACTAAACCCCAGCTTGTGAAAAATAGGACATGAGATTCAAAATGGAAACATAGGAATGAATGATTACCCCGGTTATTGATGGGAGACAACCTTTGATTTTTTTCTCCTACACATTGGATCCTCATTAAAAAAAAATCTTTGTTTTTCTCCTTCTCCCCAGAGGCAAACTATGCAAGAGGCACCAGACTCCCTCTTTCTGGTGAAGGACCAACTTCTCAGCCGAATAGCTCCAAGCAAACTGTCCTGTCTTGGCAAGCTGCAATCGATGCTGCTAGACAGGCCAAGGCTGCCCAAACTATGAGCACCTCCGCACCCCCACCTGTAGGATCTCTCTCCCAAAGAAAACGTCAGCAATACGCCAAGAGCAAAAAACAGGGTAACTCGTCCAACAGCCGACCTGCCCGCGCCCTTTTCTGTTTATCACTCAATAACCCCATCCGAAGAGCCTGCATTAGTATAGTGGAATGGAAGTATCCTTTTTTTGGGGATAGTCTTTCTCGTTTTCTGTTTTACCGTCTGTTTTTTTTTAAAAGGACTTGCTTTCTGAAATGACACAAAGCTGTAGCAGTCTGGAATTCGAGCAACAGAAGTTGTATGTAAGGGGTTTCATTGTATATACCTTCCTGTCTCCTCGGGTTGCAGAGGGGTGGCTGTACGGGTATATTTAGCCCACTGTCTGGGTGTGTGTGTAGTAGTAGTGGGGGGAGGGAACGAAAGCCTGAAACTTCACAGTGGTAGATAATTAAAATGGGAAACCAACTTTTGGTCATTGGATATTAGACAGTTAGTTTTAAATTCTGTGTTGTTTTTGGGCAATACCATGCACTGAACCTATTGCAAATAAGGCATACAGATTAGAAAAAAAAAAAAGGACTGTACGAGACTCTACTGGAATACATTTTTGACCTTTAGTAGAATCTTCTCATTCTCATGTTTGAATTTGCTTCTGCAACTACAATTAATGCTAAGGTTGCTTCTAGTCTGACATTTGGTGATTCTAATTATTCAGGTAGCTACAGATATGAACACGTGCTTCCTAGGGAGAAATTACTTTTGATTTTTTTTTTTCTGATCAATGCTATAACTTCTTGGAATTTCCTTTTGACAAGTTCTAAGAAAGCATTTGAAATGTGAGCGTGAGGGAGCCAAAGAAGGGAGAGGTTGGTGTGTGCCTCTTCTTCCTGAGCCCTTATGAGTTATAGAATAGCCCTCTCAGTGGAGGAATTTGCAGTTGCTGCCTTTATAAAAAATTCTGTCTATGTCCTTGGACTGGAGTTACATATCTGGGTGTCTCCTTTGTATTTTTAAAATTGAACTCCAAGTGCCCCAGAATGGTTGTCATGTCCAAGATCTTGGGAAACGATTGTGCTTCAGCCTGCTTAACCTCTTCCCAAATCTGGAGGCCAACCTCTTCAGAGAAGATTGACTGAGGCCTTCTTTCTGAGCAAATGGCTTTTTAATTAGGCAGATGATTCATTGGTCTGGGTAACATGAAGCATTTCCTTTCCCCAGAAGTGCGTTTGGAACTGACAGGGGCCTTAGAGCAATTCCTAACTATAGGAAGGGGTGTGAATATAGGAATTTCCCCCCACCAGGCCCAGAAGGATGGAGGGGCCATACCAAAAGGGGAAGATGTTGGCAACCAGCTAGAAAGTGGAGCTGAAATCTCCTTATAATTTGAGAATCAAGCTCGGCAGCTATTTGCATGCGCTCTGTCTCAACTGGCTGTTTTCTCTGCTCGTGGACAGGAGTTAAGATGAGGTAACTGTGTAGAAAGGTTTTGGAGAGAGGAGTCAAATGCTAGCATAGGGTTCGAGGGGTTCTCGTGGGTTTTCATTTTGCAACAGATGTCCCTTCTCTAGAGTGAGTTATAGTGTCTCTCACATAGGTGGGGTTGTGTGCGTGCATTTTCTCTTGAAGTTCTCTAGTCTGAGAACCAGGAGGGAGCTCAGTAAGCCAGCATGTGGCCCAGTGGCATTGCTGGAGTCATGGCAGTGGTTGTACCTTGCCAGAAGATCTTCTCCTCCTTGGATTGGCTTGACATGACTCTGAGTAAGCAGAGATCTCCTTGTGGGGTCACTGATTTTGTGTGGAATAGGTGGGAGGCCTGATGCTGTTTCTCTTTGTGCACAGTAATGTGTACATAGCAGTTTTTGCGTGTAGAGTGAATTCCTGGATCACGCTGCTGTCTCCCTTCCTTCAGTTGCCAGACACATGTGTACAGGAGTTAGGGGATGTGGCTGCCAATTCAGGGAGAAGTCTGTTTACAAATGGGATAGTTTGTAAAATAGATAGATCCTTAAGGAATATATAATTTTTTTTTTAAAAAATGACAATTTCCTTCTAATTTAGGGAGCAGGCTATAGAAATCCTTTCCACCCCAGCCAGCTCTGTCAGGCCCAGTCCGCAGTGGGAGAGCAAGGGTCCTTTGTTTTAACAGACAAGCATGACAGAGTGTCCTGCCCCTGAGGGAGTGAGGGATATTCTCCTCATCAGAAGGAATTGTTAAGATCAGACCCATCTATTTTTCTATTGCTCTATTCTGCTTCACTTGTGAAAATTTTATGGCAGTGAGATGGTATCCACTTGTACCTGGAGACTGAAACTGGACCAACATAAAGTAAAAATACAACTTAGGTTTAGTCCTACTGAACAGTGTTAGTGTTTCTCAGAGGTGCTGGTTTATCGTTTAGGGATTAGAAAATTGAAAAGGAAGAATGGTAGTGTGAGGGAGGGAAGAGACTATTGTGTTTCTATAGAGAACAACATTGGGGCCCTTGACTTTTTAGATTTCAGTGGGGACCTGTGAAAAGGAAAAATGGAAAGGGAATTCTCAAGTCTTCCTAAGGTGGGCTTGTCTGAAAGTTGGATCCCTGGGTGAAAAAGATTTTTTTTTTTTTGAGACGGAGTTTCGCTCTTGTTACCCAGGCTGGAGTGCAATGGCGTGATCTTGGCTCACCGCAACCTCCGCCTCCTGGGTTCAAGCAATTCTCCTGCCTCAGCCTCCCGAGTCGCTGGAACTACAGGCGCATGCCACCATGCCCAGCTAATTTTTGTATTTTTAGTAGAGATGGGGTTTTACCTTGTTGACCAAGATGGTCTAGATCTCTTGACCTTGTGATCCACCCGCCTCTGCCTCCCAAAGTGCTGGGATTATAGGCGTGAGCCACCTCGCCCAGCCAAAAAAGATTTTGTAATATTAGATGAGTTAAGAGAACTTAAGTCATCTAATATTTTGTAATATTAGATGACTTAAGAGTTAAGCTGATTGGCTTAAAAGAAAACCATCAAAATTAATAAGGGAATAATGTTATTCATTGCCTTTTTTTCGATGTGTTATCAAAGCTCTTTGAGAATGGAGGTTTTATGAAACTCAAGATCTCTGCAGAGGCTGGGCACGGTGGCTCATGCCTGTAATTCCAGCATTTTGGGATGTGAAGGTGAGCAGATTGCTTGAGACCAGGAGTTCAAGACCAGCCTGGGCAACATGACAAAACCCCTATCTCTACTAAAAAAAAAAAAAAATTAGCTAGCCTGGTGGCACATGCCTGTAGTCCCAGCTACTTGGGAGGCTGAGGTGGGAGGATGGCTTGAGCCTGGGAGGCGGAGTTTGCAGCAGGCTGAGATTGCATCAGTGGACTCCAGCCTCAGTGACAGTGAGACCCCATTTCAAAAAAAAAAAAAAAGGTATCTTTAGGGAGGTAAAGGGTATTTGTTTTCTGCAGCATTTTTGGATTTTCCAAAAGAATGTCAGGACAGATGGAGGATAGTTCTGTTTGTATCCTCCAGTTTCATGTATGTTGAGGTATTAGTCAAACCATGGCCTTGCCTCTTGTGGGTAAGAGTGTATAGGCGAAGCACTGTTGTAAAATCAAGCCCAGGAATTGCAGATGAGGCTGGTGCTCGGGAAACCTTGCATTTGGAAAGGCTGAAAACCCAACGAAGAAAAACAGTCATTTTGGCAGATGTCAAATTTTGTATTGCCAGTTTTGACAATGTCTCTTAATAACACCAGAATGTTTAGGCAAGTATTTCTTGAAGGCTGATCTCACAGTGATTCTTCCAGATAGACCACCGAGATTGAAAATTATTAAACCCTACTTTTAATTGTCTGGTGCTGATTTCTTATGGCTTTTTAATTTGTTTACAAATTGAGCATGGTAACAGAATATTATAAACTGAGCTTCAGTCCAGTTCTAATCTGAAACAGTTATAGCCATTGATTCCTCTAGCAGAGAAAGCAGAGGCAGGAGCTGAAGCCTGGCTCGCTGCTGATCACGTCTGAGGTATTGGAACATGCCATGAGAAAGTCACAGGTAGAACGGAGAAGGTCCTGGTGACTTGGCCTGGCCCGATCCAGACAGGCGATTTAGGCTGACCCTGCCAAGAATAGACCCTGAGAAAATGGCTCTAACACATGGAGGCAAGGATCTGCGGAAGAGATTTACCCCATGATGACTTCCCTGTGTCTACCACAGCTGGGAACTTAGTAAGGCCCTTGTCACTTTTAAACCTATAAGAAGCAGAAAACTGGTTCACACTGTGCCCTAATTGGATGTACTTTTCGGTTTCAGTAGACAGTATGCAGCAGAAGAATGAGTGTAACATGATCCTTGCAACAGAAGGAAAGGACGTTTGATAGGAGAGGTCATTTGATAGGAGGCTCCACTGTGAGATGACCACTGACGATTACTTCTGCTGAAAACCTACCAGTTTCCGCAGTCAGCCGAAATATGATTTGTATATGCCATTTTCATTTTAAAGGTGCTTCCCAAGTGGTGTGATCGGGAGTGTGATGAGGGACATGGTTTGTGTTTCCATAACACATATATACCTTAACAAGATTTTTCAGACCATTTGACATATTTATATTATTGGCTATTTTTGCCAATTGTGTGGCCTTAGCTATTTACATCCCATTCCCTGAAGATGATTCTAATTCAACAAATCATAACTTGGTAAGTGTCCTGAGAGTTCCTGCTGGTCCTGGTATATGGCTATCATTTGCTTCTATGCTTACGCTGGCAGCTTGCCTTCTGGGTGGTTGAAGTTTACAGCCATGCATGTGGTGTTTCTTGGAGCTTTGCAACAGTGGCTTTTTGTTTGTTTGTTTTAACCTGTACTCTCAAATTTATACTGAATGAAAGTATTTAAAGTCATCAATCTTTTATAAATAGACATAGGATTGTTATGGAAGAGATTTGTAGCAGATTTTCTCTCCACATAAGATTTTGCTACCATTGTTTTCCTGATAATGTTAGATTTTTTTCTTTTGTTTTTTAAGTGTTCTTGGGAGTGGTGGGTACTTTGGTCATTTGTTCTGGTAAGTAGAGAATTATCATAGGCTTTGTACATGAACTATTTTTAGAGAAGTAGAATACAACAAAACTAATAAATCTACATCGAGCATAATTTGGAGAATAATATATATTATTGAATGCATGATATGGTATTAAAGTTTCTACTCTATGTCCTGTGAAATGCCCCCACATCCTATGAAGTGTCCCGAGATAAAATAATTGTATGGTTAAATAAGTCAGGATGCTTTCATATACTTTGCTGCCTTCTTAAAGATTTATAGTGCACGCTAGCTTAGTAAAAGCTTTGGGAAGTTCTGCAGTTAAAAAACAGGTTTCCTTCTGTTTAACTCAGCTAGTCCCTAAAAGTAATCAGTCATAAATTCTTTAAACATTTTTTTTTTCTTTTGGCAAATGACTTTAACATCATGGAACCGGTGGTCCATGGAACTTCCTTTGGGAAAGGTTGATATAGTTTAAAAAAAAAAAGCACTGAAGAGCACTAGACTGCCACTAGGATGTTGTCCCAGTCACCTGTCAACTAGTTGTATTTGGGGTCATTTTTCATACCTTTCTGCATTGCCATGCAGCTACCAGCAATTGGGAGGATTGGATAAGAAGATTGCTAGGATCGTTTTTACCTCTGACATTCTGCAATCTTTCTTTGATGATTCAGAAGCCATTTCAGGATTTTTCTGGTGCTGCAGCATCCTTCTTGCAAGGATTGGTTCTTTGCAGTCAGAAGCCATGCAGGATGGTAGATGAAGGGGAGCCCATGCTGGATAACAGGAAACTCTATTGTTTTTCTTCTTTTCTCTTAGCTGGTTCCGTTTGTTTTTGGCTTCTCATGTTGAAGCTCTATTTTAGCAGGGCTGGATGTTCCTAACTGAGCGAGCGTTGTAAAGGCAAACACACTAGGCTCTCCCTTGTGTGGGAGAGCTCTGCTGGCTTCTGAAGATAGTGAAATTATGCTCTTGTGAATAAGCCTTAACGATTTATGTACAGGATTTCATGTTACATTTAAAATGTTGTGGCACATTTCAGATGTAATGTGATGTATATTTGTATTTGGGATTTGGTACTTTGATATCTAGAGAATTTTCTAAAAATTTTGGGTATTGTTCCTGAAAATATAACTATAAATGGGAGTTGGATAACCACATAAACACTGGTAGTATGTATTTTTACTATACCAGAGATCATTGGTGTAACTTTGAACATTTTACATAGCTTTTGATTTGTTTGTAGCCATGTGACATTAGATGATTGTTTTAAAGAAAAAGCAGACGTGGTGTGAAGCCTCCCATCAATGGAGATAGATCATGGTAGTCGAGGCCAGAGATGGTGTTAGCCTTCTTACCAAATTTAACGACGTGGATGGTGACCCAGATTTTTGCTTTTTGTAGCTCAAGAGAACATGATTAAACAAACTTAGAAAATAAATACCTTTCAGAAAGCAGATTAATTCAGATCAATGGAATAATTAATTTAGCTGCATGTGTAAGCCAATTAATATTCTGAAATTTTCGAAGGGAAATTCAGGGCACTGATATAAGTGCTGTCAGACCATTTGGATTTCTCATCTAAGAAGCGAGGAAATGAAATACAAGAAATAGATAAATCTCTCTTCTTCCTTTTGTACTCCCTCTCTAGTGAATCCTTTCTTGACAATTCTTAAGCATTGGACTTTTTTTTTAAAGGGGGATTTGGCAGTGTGTTAATTTCACAGGCCTTTCTAAAAGCCAACGTGTATTCCTTTGACCTCTTCACATAGTATTCTGAAACTCATGGCGTTCAACTTGGTGTCTTTGACTTGGATGGTCACATGGCCAGATGAGTTTATACTCTGCTTTACTCTTTAAATACTTCCTTTCCCTCTGTGGGAAGGGAAGATCTTGTGGATTTCCTTCTGACTTTTAGCAAGGTCCCATGCCATGTTGGTCCTCCCATGAGGGAGCTGGATTTTTTTTTTTTTTTTTTAATACATTTGACCCAATTTGTACCAGAGTGATTGCTCTATTTTTGGGATTGGTTTAGAGGCAGCTAAATGAAGCTTATTTTTCATCTGTAGTAAATACCTTTCATTTAATGTGAATGGTAAAAATCAAAGGGCAGAGTCTGAAATGAGTTGGAAAGCTGCATGTATCCAGAAGCTGCTGGTTTTCTTTGCCTGATAGCTCCATGGGAAAGGTGTGTGTTGAGCAGTTAGAGTGAGATTCAGGGCCAGCTTTATAGGTGATGTTTCTGCCTGTTACCAGTTACCTAGTAAAATTACTACTTTTGTTGGGTAAGTGGCCATCCCCATTAACCCAATGTGTCTTTGTTCTGGATAGGATGTAACTCAGCTAGTTTTGGGATTTGGAAACTACCTTGGGGGGTGGGGGCAGAAGCTTTCCCAAGGATAGTTTTTGTTCTTTATTTATTTTTTAAAAATATAAACACTCTCAAGTTTTTATGCAGCTTTCATTTATGGACTTGCAGGGACTGGTGGAGGCTGAATTCATGGAAACGGCACAACTCAGTTCCCACAGTAATATCCCTCCTAGTTCAGTTGGTAGCAGTGTTTCCTCAGTTTCACTTACGGAAAGCAAATGTCATTTATTTTATTTTCTTAGCACAGAGGAGGGGAATGCCTCTGTATCAAGTATCAGAGTGGGGATGATTACAATATCATACTTCACTGTGATGAAAAATGCTTTTTTTTAAAAAAAAATCATTCAGTTTCTTACAGGCAAACGGACATGGTTGAACAGTTGTGAGTCTGTGTAATCTGTCCCCGGTACTCTTCCTCCCGATGCTACCTCCTAGTTCTCTGGAGTGTGGAGCTGCTTAAAATTAAAAATGTCCAGAATGAGGATCTTCATCTGCCAAATCACACCTTCCTTGATCTCTACTGATGGGTGCACTCACCTCTAAGCCATCTCTAAACCAGCACTAAGTACCTGGAGGGCAAGGCCCAGGCCCATGCCCCTCTATCCCCCTATCTAGCAAAAGGCCTGATATACTAGGTGTTTTATAAACCAAGAGTCACTGTCTGTGACCTTTTTCTTGCCCCTCTTCTCATCTTGTTGTTGAGCTTGTTGGGTTTTGAGCCTGTTGACATTTTGCCTTTAAAGGCGCACAAGTCCCCTTCCTGTCCCTTCATTCCACTGTCAAGTGACTTTTGCTGGAGAAGTGATCCTGAGGCCTCAGTGTCTACCCATTGTCTACTGGGGTAAGGCCAGAGTGTGGCCGGGTTCAGCTTGGTCTGGTCCAGCTTTATTGGGTTTTGTCTCCACTCCTCTCCTTTATAGCTCTACTCATTTGTCCACAAAGGTTCCTAAACACCCCTCCTCCCCCAACTTGTCCACCTCCTGGCTTCTTTATTTGAAATGTCTCTTCCTTCGTACTGCCCCTTCTTTTTATTTTTTGAGACAGGGGTCGCCCAGGCTGGCATGCAGTGGTGTGATCTTGGCTCACTGGTGTGCAGTGGTGCAATCTTGGCTCACTGCAACCTCTGACTCTGGGGGTCAAACAATCCTCTTACCTCAGCTGCCTGAGTTGCTGGGACTACGGGCACATGCCACTGCACCTGACTAATTTTTGTATTTTTTGTAGAGATGAGGTTTCACCATCTTGCCCAGGCTGGCCTTAAACTCCTGGACTCCAGCGCTCCACCCACCTTGGCCTCCCAAAGTGCTAGGATTACAGGTGTGAGCCATGGCACCCGGCCTCTACTGCCTCTTCTTTACTGTCCCCCTTCCTTGCAGCTACTCAGGAATAATCTCAGATTATGTTTCTTCCATGAGGCCTTTCCTGAAACTGATCCAAACAATCTAAACCTCTTTTTGTGGCATTTTGCACATAAAATACCCTATATTTTTTATTTATATGCACATCTTTATCCTCTCAGGCATCTTCAGAATGCAGTTCATAGTGAAGCTTTCTGAATCCCCAGCCATGTGGGACCAGATGCTTTACAGTGGCCAGGAATGCTGTGGGACAGCTTAATTTGATTGCTTTCTTTCCTCCATGGCTAAGATCTGAGTGTAGTGTTAACTGGACTTAAAAAGCAAGTCCATTGTATCTGCATGGTCATGTAGTTCAGCAACACATGGCTTTTGCGTCTGGTGGTGTGAATAGTAATACCTGAAACACAATTTTATAACGTGGCTCCTTGGGCTTAGCCTGTATGGTGGGGGTTAGGTCTGTATGCCATTAAGACTGCATCGCTGGGCGTGGTGGCTCACGCCTGTAATCCCAGCATTTTGGGAGGCCGAGGCGGGCGGATCATGAGGTCAAGAGATCGAGACCATCCTGGTCAACATGGTGAAACCCCATCTCTACTAAAAATATAAAAAATTAGCTGGGCACAGTGGTGCATGCCTGTAATCCCAGCTACTCAGGAGGCTGAGGCAAGAGAATTGCCTGAACCCAGGAGGCGGAGGTCGCAGTGAGCTGAGTTAGCGGCATTGCACTCCAGCCTGGGTAACAAGAGCGAAACTCTGTCTCAAAAAAAAAAAAAAAAAAAAAAAAAAAGACTGCGTCTTTGCTTGGTCTTCGTTCTCTTGGAATTAAGGTTTCTTATTTCTGTATGCCTAGGTTCTGTCTATTCTTGGACAGCTCCTATGCTGCTTCTTCCCTTCAGCCTTCTCTGATCCACTCCCTGCCTGCCTTCATCT